AGTAGTAGCAGTAGTAGTAGTAGTAGTAGTAGTAGTCGTAGTAGTCGTAGTAGTAGCAGCAGTAGCAGCAGCAGCAGGAGTAGTAGTAGTAGTAGTAGTAGTAGTAGTAGTAGTGGTGGTAGTAAAGAAAAACCCGAGCTCTCCGAGCCCAAGCCCAAACAATGGCCAGCTGCACCTACGAGGAGCTTCCGCCGCTCCACCGACCGCGGAGCAAAGCCCTGAGGCTGAACGCCTGCCAGTAGGGCTGGCACGAATTCAATGTGCAGAGACCCTTGGACTTTGGGCTTTCAGCCTAATCGAATCTACAAGACGTGTGCGTGAGAACGCGTGTCAGCTGCTCAGCGGCAAGCTGCTATGCTGATCACCAGATGTGCTCAGCGGCGGGGGGGGGGCTTGGCATTGTTGGCCATCTCAAGAATGTGCCCGAAGACCCCTCGTGCCTAGCTGATCACCATCCCGCAGCATCCTGGAGCGGCAGGTGTTCGAGGAAAGTTGGCTGTGTGGCAAGAGGACGTTCAAAGGCCTCCCTCGTAATGGTGCTTTGCAGCTGTGCAGCAACATGTGACGTCCTGTACTATCTCATGCAGAACGTCGTCGACAGGTCGACTCGATGGGCTTGCGAATCCCAGTTTGAAGCACCATTGGCTGGCAGGGTGTCTGATAGCTGTGGAAGGATAGAATTCCGGCCACTTACGCTTTGCGCAAGCTGCCTGGTAGCTTTGAAGTTGCCGAAAAGTCGGATCACAACGGCGCGATTCAATACCCCAAGACGACGATGCAGTGAGTACAACATTTGGCGTACTGTTTTTCTCAACAGCGGGACAATGTTAATGTTGGACCTGGGGCCAGAAGCTGAGTTCGCCGTAGCTTGTGGACAGGACACTGACCGGCCTCATGTGCCCCGTCTCACTGATGCTGAGAAGGTAGGAGTTTGTCTCACCTTGGCAACCCAGCCTACAGCCAGTCCAACATCCTTGAGCACTCATAACAGCATATACTCGTCGTCGTACAGCAGCAGCAACACGAGAAGTGATGGTATAGTAGTAGCAGTAGTAGTAGTCGTCGTCGTAGTAGTAGTCGTCGTCGTCGTCCTGGTAGT